ATCTCATGCCCTGTGGAGTGTTACGTTTCCTTGGAAAGCTTTTTTGGATCTACCAACTCTCAATCTGGCTACACACACACAATACAAAACCATTGTTAGACAATTTTTTTTCTGAAAGACTTGTTCAATGAAAGCTAAAAGTATGAGGAATGAGAAGATTGAAGCGTCTCTGTTCTCTGTGTGCCTTAGGGCATCTGGGGCCACTTTTCTTTTGTTGTATGGGATGGTTGGTGCTTGGAAATGGGCGGGTGGGGGGTATAGAGGAGGATGCCTGGGGGAGGGTTATGGCTCCAAAGTATGCAGACATAAGCTGTGCATGAGTTGCCTTCAAAGCACGCCATGGTTGGTTGTACTGAGAGGGTCACAGGGCCAAGGTTTAGAACAACAGAGTCCCACAGAGAGCCTGAACTCATCAGACCACCTTGACCTACTGCCAAAAGTATTTAGGCTAGAATAACTAGAAACATGTTGACTAAATGCTAACAAAAGCAGCCATTGTGAAGGGCTTGTTGGGTTGTGAACTGTTGAATATTCAGAAATTTAATTAGAAATTACAGTTTGCTGATCACCCTGAAGTTTAATGCTGACAATTATAATGGCTTTGCAATACCTATTGACAACATTAATAAGAAAATGGCTGAGTTTTTTAATATGGATGGTTGGAGCACTTTTTGTTCATTTAATACATGTAGTGTCTCATAGTGGAGCAGCGTCTTGACATCTCATGGCATCCAGACAAAAAACATGAGCAAATACAAACTTTTGGCCTTCGATTCCCTAGTTTTATGGCATTGACGAAAAGGAGCACAAGCAGCATACTCATAACTATGCAGAAGCAAACACAAAAGGATGCTGGTGCTTTCAGGAGGAACGGCGAGGTCAGTCCCATGCAACTCCTTCCAGAAAATCAATCGTCTAATCTCGAAAGACGGCATCCCATGATTGGTTGGTCCATTGTGTATTCTGCCAAGTCACAGCAAGAAATTATGATTCCGATCGTCTAATAACACACAGTTAGCATCTCAAATGATAAAATTATTGTTTTGTTTAATACCCACACAATAGAATCTAAATGTCATCTAATTGTTACCTATAATATTCCTGAATAAACCCACAAACTTCACAAAGCAGTCAAAATATTCCTCCACCTGCCCACTTACATGCACAGATGTTAGCCAGTCATCAGGGACTGCAACAATCCTGGTGAATGACTGGGGTAAATTTTGGGCTAAAGAGGTTACGGCTTTAGGAAGTGTTATGCATGCAGACCTCTTTCTATTAGCCTATTATTAGGCTCCATGGGGCACTCTGGCTTTGTCTGTGTTACAGACAAAAATCCCAGCATGAGCAGGCTCAAGCTTCTGCAGCAGTGGGCCAGACGCAAAGTGATTATCAGACATCAAACTCATTTAGGGAAGTTGAAGGAAGATAGTATAACAACTCAGCATCAGCAACTTCCTCTCAACCAACACAATATCTCTTATCTAGTCTTTGAAATGGGTGCAATGCTGACGGAAACCAACAATTACAAGGCCACAGTCTTCTTTGACTTTCACTTACTGATTTTTAAGGTTTGCTTTATAGTTTAGAATCACTCTGAACAGCTGTTCTTGTACTATGTAACTTTAGTGAGTGGGCACAATCTCAAAGTGCATAACTAACAGATAGTTGCGGTAAGTTTAAGAATAATGACCAACTGTAGATTGGTTAACAGACTTAGAAGTCATTAAAACTAGCATTTATCTCTCATATTGAGCAAGTAAACATTTAAAATATCAAGATTTCTAAACAGAGTTTGGTGTATTTGTAACAGTGACAGCTGCTCTGGTTCAGGAAGCCTGGATCTTAAGGAATAGTCACCATTCAGTTGTGTTTCAGTTCAGTGAGACACAGTCAGAGCTCCGGTTAAGAGACTGATTGGCTTTGTTTTTTCTCTACATGAAAACCCCTTAATCGCTTGGACACACTGCCCAACAGAATAAATCACCATGTGGCTGCAGGGGGTGCTGCTACTCAATAAAACGTACATAATGTTGGTTTAACAGCATTTCATTTCCGATGGATGCACCAATGTGGAGAGAGGAAGGGGAAGTAAGTTGGGAATGTTTAAGAGCCCCGTGAGAGACTAAATGAAAAACATTCTTATAATAGGGTGTGGTTTGTCCAGACAATGACAGTGTGGACTCTCAAGGACAGCTGGACAATGAGACTCTGCTGCTGCAATTGTTGCCAAGATTATGTAGGTTTTAATATTAGTGCCACACAGTGACCAGTGTTTTATAAAAAGCTACGGGCATACAAATGTCACGCTCACATTAAAATGTGTAATCAGGCCTTGACATAGAGTAGATCTTTCTCCTGTGGATTCTTGTTCAGACAAACAGGTTTAGACTTGGCAAAAAGCAAGGAATTATATTTTTTATAGACTACTGCATAATTCAGAGAGTGGGCAGATGAAAGTCAACTAGCAATGGTCTTTAAGGGTCATAATTACTACGGTGTACAAAGCAAAGGCCTGGACATGCTACAAGTCACATTACTGGTTTCAACTTTGCTTTCATTCTCCAGAACAAATACCACAGAAAAAGAGTCCAACCTAACACACAGTTAGCATTTGACAGCTCACTGTCCCACTCATTTGAAATAAGATGAGAGAACTTCATCCACAAGGACACTTCATGCAGTGTGGTGAAATGTGCTGATTAAGGGCACTCATCAGGGAGGAAACTGAAATGGCTTTGGAAGGACATGCATCAACAATAAATCAAAGCTCGGAGACATAAAACCGCACTCTGCCAAACTCTGCAGGTAGACCCTATGTTTTTAATATTTACTGGAGTTTACAAACTGAATGAGGGGATATTGGTTTCAGACTAGAATTGTGGCATGTTTTATACCACTCAATCATTAGGATTGAGTAAAACTGTGCAATAGACTCTGCAGAGAAGCTGTGAAAAAACAGCAACATGCCAAGAGACCAGAGCGGCATCTTTGTGATTTTACCTATGACCGTGTCAGAATGTCGGCCTAACATGTATGTAAATACAGGGAAATAGCATCCACAAAAATCTTTTCGACTTCTTTATCTCTTTATGTGATGTGTGTCTTAATACACAAACATAAAATGGTATCAAACTGGCAGTGATTTAATAATACTGCAACGTATATGGAATAGAACTGTAGCGTGAAGGACAACATCAAGGCTGCACTGTTCTTTCTGTTGTAGGTATAACTTTTGATGAGGTACATTTTGCACCACAGCAGGAAATGGCCTTAAAACATCTAAGAGGGGTGGGTAGAGCTGTTGATTGATACCAATGACTAAAGGATTACTTTGCCAGGTGTGAAGATTTATGTGTTTCAAAGCTCTTTATTCCTCATCGCCGGCAACATCCGGGGCTGGAGACAGAATGTTTTCAGGATGTCCGTCTGTCTGTATGTACGTACCATTCTCTTCAACATATCTCATGAACGTCTCGAGTCGAAGGTAGATTTTTTTTAAATGTAGAATGTCCCATGTATTTAATATAAGAATCAAATACAGGATGTATTTTGTTAAATCTTATTACAATATGTAAACGCTGAAATCTTCGGTTTATTTGTCATTTGAGTTTGCAAAGAGATGTATATGCGACAATATATAATATTAAAATATGCAGAAATTAAAACATTTGATAAGAATCGTTAAAACTTGGTTGTTAAAGAACTGTGAATAAGATACTGGATATTTTTAAGAGGAAATGTTTCATGTTACCAAAACAGATCTGGGATCAGACTGTAACTAACTGGTGTGGACAGACACAACAAGATGTGTAGTCAAGTGTGTTACTTACAACTAAAAGGTAAAGTTTGTGTCATTGCATCTGTTATTACTTTACTCCTGGAAGTACAATTTGACATAAGTGGTCTTTTCCCTTCAGTCTGTAATAACAACACAGCTGCAGAAATGTGTGCAGCTTGTGGGTGGAGATATCGTGTGAGGGGGGGCTAAAGAAACCATTGAGTAGGATGAAGTTATTGCAGATTAAAGAGACATTAAGGAGTCATACTAAAGTGACAAGGAGTACTCTTGCAATTAGAAGGACAATAGTGGTCAAAACTTTTAAGCGCTTTTAATGTTTAGATTATTCTACATCAGGGAGGCATGTGACTGTCACCATCTTCAGCTGCAAGAACAAGGAGTCCAGCAACAGATGGTGGAGCCTCACCAAAGCTGTGATCTCAACACCGTGGAACAATTCTGGGATTACACGAAGAGGCAGAGGACACGAAAGCAGATTTAAGACTCAGGACAGAACCGTGGAAAGGATCTATGTGGTCACCACAAACACTGATTGAACATTGATATTAAACTTTTTCATTTTACTGCACTTTGACAATGAAAAACACTTAAAAGCACACTCTGTTTACTTTGGGTGTTTTTAACTTCTGCCCAGCACTGCAGCGATTCTGTTGCAATGGATAAAAGCGTGTTAAGTGGAAAAGATCAGCTAACTGACGCTAAAAACAAACATATTAAAAACAAAGAGCAGTGGCTCAAGTTTAGTTTGTCAGTTTTCTAACCTGCTTCATTCAGACACAACACGTCTGTCATGGCTTCCTCACGCAGCCACCTCATCACAACCTCAGGACAATACGGGGGAGAAAACGTTATTTACGTGGCGACACAGACAGACAGCTAGCTAGGGAGCCAGCCAGCCAGCAGCTACTTTATACTAAGCAGTTAGCATAGAAGCTAACAGAGGTGTGTGCATTTCCCAGACAGTCAACAGAGAGATGGGAAGTTGCAGCGCTCTCCCTCCGCTTCTGGTCGCACGAGCCGACGAGCTGAAGGTTGAATCGGACACTTATCGGCGGGGACGAGCGGTGACAGAGGAGGGGACGGGAGCGGGCTGCGGTTTGAACGTTTGTCCGCTGATGTAAAAGTGAAGTGTGGGGAAACATCAGCTAGCTCTGCGGACACAGGGTCTGGACCAGAGGAGACGTTGTAGCGGGCTTACCTGGAGGGCTGAACCCGTCCTGAGGAGTTAGTTCTTCCGCAGTGGGTGGTTCGGTTCGGTGGGTGAGTTTGAAACAGTCCAGCTTCAGCTCTGGATCTCGGCTCTGGTCGTCGGCTCCTCCACGGAAGCTCCGCCGCTTCCTGCTCAGTCACAACTGAGACTGAGCGAAGCCTCAGGTCCGCTTCTCACTGCGAGGAGCCGCAGCCTCGCGAGATGTGGCGACAGCTGCGAGACTTCTGTTAACCAATCACAGGAGCCGGCTGGAGCTCTCAGGAGAGGGTTATAAAATAAAATAAAATAAAATAAAATAAAATAAAATAAAATAAAATAAAATAAAATAAAATAAAATAAA